ATCCATCGACGAAGCCAGAACCCGGCGAACACCGATGGTCGCTTGAACTGGTTTTTTTTTTTTTATTACCTTACAATCGATTATTTCATCACAAATTTTTCTTTTTTTCCATGTATTTTTTATAAAACCTTAGAGAGAGAGAGAGAGAGTTTAGGAGGCTCAAAGAAAAAAAAAGTGGGGAGTGCGTATAGTGATTATGTTAAGTTGTGGAGTCTAATTATTATCGATCCTAATTATTGTCACCTCACAAAACTGATTGGGAATCGACTTCCATGATGAGATCGCCCTGAAGATTTGGAGTGGAGTCTAAATTGTAGAAGATAGTTGCTCTTTTCACTACTGGGACTGAGTATGTTACGATAATTGTAGAGAGAGAGAGAGAGAGTTTAGGAGGCTCAAAGAAAAAAAAAGTGGGGAGTGCGTATAGTGATTATGTTAAGTTGTGGAGTCTAATTATTATCGATCCTAATTATTGTCACCTCACAAAACTGATTGGGAATCGACTTCCATGATGAGATCGCCCTGAAGATTTGGAGTGGAGTCTAAATTGTAGAAGATAGTTGCTCTTTTCACTACTGGGACTGAGTATGTTACGATAATTGAATCTAGCAAAGAGATGATATGGTTGCAGTATTTTCTAAAAAAGTGTCACAAGTATGGAAAGAGTGTTATATTGTGACAGTGAAAGCTCCATTCACTTAGGAAAAAATCCTATTTATAATTCACTGACAAAACATATGTATAGGTCTATTATCATTTCATCATATTGACTTTCGAAGATAGAATCTTAACACTTGAGAAGATTTGGGAGAGTTAGAATTCAGCTGACATGTTGACAAAGACTGTTCCAATCGAGAACTGAAGTTGTGTGCAACTTCAATTGGACTTTTCTTTTGAGTAATGAAGAGTTTTTGCCACTATGGAGGATTCATTGATGGTTGAATTAGTCTCCAAGTGGGTGATTATGTTAAGTTGTGAGCTTAATTATTGTTGTTCCTAATTATTGTCACTTCACAAGCAGTTCACAGATCAACCTTCGCTGTGAGGTCACTGTACTGGAGGTTGGAAGGGAGGCATGAGGCCCCACAAGAATAATAAAGTAATAATAAAGTGAATTGTGAGCTATCGTCCCACAAGAAATAATGTTTAACTCTAGTTAACTAGTTACTATTAAATTCGATTTCGTGACACAAAAAATGTGATTTTATTGTTATTTAAACTAATTATAAACTAATGAAGCAATAAAAAAATGTATAGTCAAGTATGTAAATGATTGTATTTAATTTTGAATCCCCCTCTTACTATTTATTTTAATTCTTAATTCGTAATATAGTGAGTTCCTTACTTTCATGACAATCAATAACATGAGTGTATTTTATTCTCTTTTCCAAGATAAATTAAGTCTATTTTAATCACGACCCAATCCTAATCTTAGTCCAAATTCATATGACCAAAATGCACTAAATTATAGGTTATTCATGTGATTACATATGTGATCAAGATTATTCTATCTATATATGTTAATTTTGCTGCATTCTAAACTTATTGTGAGTCTTTCAACACTACAACAAGAAACTAATTATTCAATTGGTGGCCAGTCAATTAAATAATGCAATGGGTTTGTAAAATCAACCAAGAAAATCAAAAAATAAATAAATCATTAATCAAAATAAATATGTAATAGAGTTCATCATTCATCCAATACAATAGAAAAACTGGTTTAGCATTCTGATTATTAGATTATACAAGAAATATTGAAAAAAATCACCCGAAAAGAAGAAAATGGAGAAGTTCAATTCCTTGGTTTGAATCTTGTAAATGGACGAATATTTTTCAATAAACTTGTATAATCCGTCTTGATCTTAATACTTAGCCTCGTTCTTCACCTCCAAAATACATAGAATATAGATATTTTTATGTTTAAGGGAGGCCTATACGTTTTGGACAGTTCTTGGTATAAATAGTGTGTCAAAAGATTACATACCAAAAGTTTCCATAACAACATAAAGAAACAAATTTTTTTTCCCCGAAATTGAACCATGTATATACATGGTTCATTTGGTGCGTACGCCCAGTACAAGTGATTTGGTCTCTAGAGTGGATTTTTGAAACCTTATGTACGCAAGACCTACAGGCCCATGCTTAAGCATAATATAATTTTTGTCGAACTTTCTCACATGCGTATTTTGATCATTTTCAACAATTTCTCATCCCATTGACTTATCTTTAACTCCATTTGATCCTTGGCATTTTTTAATCATTGTTTTGTAATTCGACTCAACTTTTAAAGTATTCTTTTTAGTCCCTAAACTTTGTGTTTGATTCAGTCGAGTCATTTTTTTTTTTGAAATCATGTTCCTTTATCTTCCAATTGTATCCAATTAAATCACTGGCATCTTTCAATCTTCATTTTGTTGTCCATCTCATCTAGGATTGTCTGTAATTTAGTCCTCGACTTTTGGATTTTGCCCTCTTTTCACTATTTTTGCATTATTTTCTCCAATTTTTCATAAAACGTCAAGTTTTACCAATTTGACATAATATAACATGATTTAGACTATATTTCATCGGAAGAACTACAAAATATCATTATTTAAAACCCGATTAAGTGTATAAAATACACTTATCAAGTACGAGAGAGGAGCCCTAGATAAGAAATTAATCTAAGGACTGTTTAGGAGATTTTATTCTTGTAAAAGATTATTAAGGAATTGGAGTTATTATAAAATTTGATTTTGTCCTAATTTATCTTATAAATTGGAAGTCGTCGTTGGGCTTTATCATTATCACCAAAAAGAGAGAGAGAAATGTTGCAAAAGATAGGAGTGCAATTTTCTCTTGTATAATATTTTTATCATAGTGAATCGCTAGAGTGGTGGAAGAGAATGTAATCTCACATCTTACATGTTCTTAAGTTTTTCTTTTTTTTTTTCTTTTTTCAAATTGATTACTCGCGGAATAGAACTAGGATTTATACTTTTTAACATACTAGTCAATATATATAAGGATGGAGTTAAAATCGGATTAGAAAACCTATGAGAAGATTTTCTAATTTAATAAACTGTAAATGCATCATAATCTAAAGGTCCATTTTCCTTTTGGGATTAGGTTGTAATAATAAAATTATAATTTTTACAAGAATTATGAAAACTACAAGAAAAAAACGTGCCTATAGATTAGAAAAATCTCCCCCTTTTTTACTTCTAAATTTTATATTTTTGGCTATTGGGTTGGGCATACTCTTTGACCCATGCTTATTCATATTTTTCAACTCATATTTAACATGTACTAGATGTTTGCTTTATCCTTATTAAATAGACATATTGATAGACATATAATAATCTATTATATGTGATAAAAATATAATATTTCAACATAGTCAAAATGGATGACATATTCTATCACCACTCTCAAGTGATTATTTTACGAAAGACTGGTTCTCTGAATTTTATTATGATTGTTGAAAGTCAACATTGTCCACGCTCACTTGAGATTTCGGATCTACCACTACGCTCATCAATTTTCCAGGTATAATATAAATATGCTAAGTTGTTTAAATGGAATTAGTGATATTTGACTCGAGCTAGTTTTATGATTTTATTTATCACAAAAAGTCAACAATTTTTTACTCAACATTTATTTGTTTCATTTTGCGATTTTTAAAGTTGTAGTTTAATGATCTCGTGCAGCTCGTATTCTTATTCATTCTCTTTTACATGTGTATTGGTCCACGTTATTCATTTTTCGATACATGTTATAACGAGAAGAGTTATAAAAAAATAAAAATAAAAAAAACACACACACACACACATTTTTACATTTGATATCTAAAATTTTCTTTTTCCGAGATAAAATGTTAGGAATTCTTACCTTTTTAACATTAATTGTCAAAATATACTAATGACAATGGAAATATATGAATTAATTATAAATATCTTGTGACTGATTAAAACAGTCGACTGAGAGAATATATATATATATATAAGTCTTTCCTTTCTCCAACTTCTGCAAGGCCTTTGCACATTGTAATTATTCTCTTATGATTAATGCAAAACAGTAGATGGATGTTTTGTGAACTACAAACTTGTTGCAAAAATTCTTTATTTTCAGTCATTAATCTTTACAAAATATAACAAAAATCTAATCTCAATCTTATTTTAGCGTAATTCATTCTACCAGCAAGCATCCTTCCACAATTCTTTCCCATTATCACAATCCTCGTTATGAATTTTCCTCATAAAATCCTCAACATTAGAGGTTGAAACCAATGAAAATTGTTACCAATTGGTGGAATAACAGCAATCGAGTTTGTTACTTGATCCCTTCCCATTCCAAATAAGAGTACCATATCTTACATTCTTGTCCGTTAGCGTCATTTTCCATCCAATTTTATCATTCAAACCAATAGTTTTATTGCCCAAACTACCCTTACCCTTATCAAGATTCTACTCGAAGGTCCCTCTACACCACTATCCATTTCCCACTTTATTTCACTGCTTGAAAACCTAGTCGGCGAAATCACAACGCCATGACCAAAAAATAAATAAATAAATTAATTAATTAATAATAAATAAATAATAAGATTGTGGGGAAAGTTTTTATTTTCTACCAATAGTCCTTCAAGATGGTCATATTTCCTTTCAAGTTCCAATTGATCTTTCTCAATTTTTGATAATCAACTCGAAAATCCTTTCAATCATCAGATTTACCCCTTTGATGTATACTCTCTTTCAAAGTACTCTCTTTAAACACTATTAATAATATCCATTTCTTAATTAGTGCATAATACGCCGATAATTAGTACATTATTGCTCTTTTTAAAACAATATTTATGAAGATTAATATTTACAACATCCTTAAAAGTCCAGCGAAATATCTAGACATTGCAAAATTCGCACGATTCTATTCATAAAAGATAAATCGTGTTTCGCTGTCACACGATTCTAATAATAAAAGTTTAATCGTGTTTCACTATATGTTTTATATTTGGGTCGGTTTTGCATCCGGCCCGAACTCACTTAATAAAGTTTCAGGGTTTCGGTTTCCGTTTCCTGTCAGATTCATTTCGTGAAATCCAAGTAAAATTTCTCCGGAAAGAACAGCCTGTTCCGATCTGGTAAATCGAAGTCGTTTTCCCTTTCTCTCTTTCTTTTTTTTTTCTTTTTTTTTTTAAAATTCTGAAATTCCAATTTTTGTTCCTGAAGGTTTCTGGCCAGAATGGATAAGGAGAAAATTGAGGAATTGAAAATCCAAATGCATAAACGGTTGAACGAGGCCCAAGAATTTATTCAGCAAGTTCCACCAATTCAGCTTTATGCCGCAATTGGAGTAGTCTTGTTCACCACATTTCTCTTCACTATTAGTAATTCCTCAAACTTTAGAGTGTTTGAATTTGCTACTAATTTTATGTTTGATGAATTCTTCTTCTCTGTTGAATTACTGCATTTCGATTTAATAGGATGTATTGATGCACAAATTATCGAGATTTCTTTGGTATTATTAGCAGTAAATTGGTTGCTGTATTGAAGCATGAAATTACTTAGTTGTTATGAAGTTTTTAAAAATTCAATTGTGTTATAGTCTTATAGAATTTATCTGGTTTTTTTGGATCTTGGATTCAAAAAATTCCAGAAAGCCTTCATTCAATAACGGAACCTTAATTTTGATCCTATTTTCTATTGTATAAAGTATTGAAGTGGCCATTTAAGTTGAAACTTATAGTTTTGTTAGATGGTGAATTTGATCCTATTTTCTATGGTCTTAAGTATTAAAGTGGCCCTTTAAGTTGAAACTTCCAATTTATTAGCACGGTGCGATGGAGTAAGCAATGCAGTCTGAAGTGAGTAATTCTAGTTAACCGTAGTAGTTCATTGGTCAGACCTTATTTTTGCTCTCCAATGGTCATCAATTTGAGTTCCTCCAGGAATATTGAGGTGAGTGCTCAACTTTAAACTTCAGGGCTCCGTAAGATTAGTCAAAGTGTGTGTAAGCTGGTCCGAACACCCACAGTCATAAAAAAAATAATAATAATAAAAAATTTGAGACCTAACTATTTGGAGTGACAAAGGACTTAGGCTTAATAGATCGTGGAAGCAAGGCTTCTCACTCCTTTACAATACTCCGCTACATGTGTAGTCATTTGCAATTAGGGCTGGACATGGTTCGGTCCGGTTCGGTTCTAACGAGAATTGAACCGACCCGAATTTTTCGGGTATTTAGTAAGTGGAACCGTCGGGTCCAAATTTAATTACGGAACCGTTCGAGTTCGGTTCCATTCGGTTCGGTTCAGTTCCATTCGGTTCCGTATTATAATTAAATTTTTTGATATATACAAAGTTACGTTAATTTAATTAATGATATGTTCAATATTAGCTTTTAAAAAATAACGTAGTTCAATCTTATGTGTTTCACGTCTTTCTTTGCTGAATTTTTCGTAAATTTGATTATTAAAATCATAGAAAAAGAAAGATAACGAGCTCAAAATAATTAAGAGAGATGTTGTAGAGCTTTAATTCGATTTTCTCCGATAGAAACGACACTACAGTAGAATAACAAATTTGGATAAAAATGAAGTCAATTTGATTAAGTTGATTTTGAACTGAAAATTAGAAATAAGAAAATCATATTTTGTGGTTTGAACTAAATTAACTAGTTAACAAATTTATTTAGAAAAAATAAAATAATTTTATTTATTTAAAATTAATTAATTAAAAAAATTACGGAGATTCAGTTCTTACTCGGTTTTTCGAGTTTTGGCCTAGAACCGAGAATCGAACCATACCTGTCGGTTCTTGATTCAAATACCCGTTCGGGTATTTAACTTGAGAAGAACCGTCGGGTTCGATTCAGTTCGATTCGGGGTCGGTTCGGTTCAGGAGTTTTGTCCAACCCTATTTGCAATGTCTTCAAAGCTGCTAAAGCAGCACAACCACCAAGAGGGCTTGGCCAATGACGTGTCCCTAGGAGGCTGAATATCCCAATTGAGAACTATGGTGGGAAGATTTTCTTATTAGAGGATTTAAGCCATAAAAAACGAAATTGCTTTAAATATATCATTCGCCTGTGTTGGTTTATTACTTTATCCTTGAAGTGAAAAAGATAATTTTCTCGTCTAAAATGAGAAGAAGAATAAAAAGTGAAAGATATAATGAGGAAAAAAATGAAAGGAAATTTTGAGGTATACTCATTTTTATTTTATTTTTCACTAAAGCCAAAACCATAGAAGTGAATGTACAAATCTAAATAAGAGAGAAAATTTGAAATTTACTCATTATTTTTTATATTTTATAGTCAAGGGTGCATAGAACGGAAGATATCTCAATAAATCTCTCATTCATGCTTGGTTCAAAAGGTAAATTGAAAGAGGAAAATGTTCGATTGTAATTTGAGGGAAGGAAGCAACTTTTTGTTTCAACTTTTCACAGTGCTTAATGGTATCTGAAAAGAATTAGATATTGGAGTTCATACTGGTAGAAGAGAGAAATTGAGGGAACTCAGGCTGTTCGGTAGTGATTATGAAAATTGATTTTTTGACCGTTAGATAGAAAAGTGGGTCCCACCTATGAGTGAAGAAATCAATAATGACAACTGACCATGTTAAGTAACGGTCAAAAATTTGATTTTTTTTTGTGAAAAATCAAAACCAAACAGGGGCTTTGTATTATTTGCTTTTGAGCAAATTTGGATTTGTCTCAAAACGGAATAATTGATCAAGTTGTGGTTTCAGTTATGTAGAATTGGAGGGATTAGTGATGGGATGATCAAATAATTTATCTTCTGACTCATTTCTTGGGATGCACGAGCTTTTTATACTTCGTTTTTCCTTCATCATTCCTTAGATTTAGAATTCACTTCTCTACTCTGCACAATTCCCTGCCACAAGCTTAAATGTGAATTCTCAGAAGACATTCATTGCTTTGCAGTTCGATTATTTAAGCGTAAGTCAGCTAACACTGTTGTGTTAACTGGGCTTAGTGGAAGTGGAAAAACTGTTCTATTTTACCAGGTCAGCCTCTAAAAAATGGTTAATGAAATTTTGGATTATGGCCTCTGTTCCAACTATTAAGATGTAAAATGTTGTTGATTCAGCTTCGAGATGGCTCCCCTCATCAGGGTACTGTGACATCAATGGAACCAAATGAAGGTACTTTTGTGCTACACTCCGAAACAACAAAGGTATTGTACTCTATTTGCTGGCAACGTTCTTAGATAGATAAACTCTTCCTGTCTTTTGGCTAGCGTGCTTAAATGCGTAGTGGATTGCTCAGGTTCGGCAAAAAGGATGTTAATTCATGTACATATTTTGAGGATCTGCACTGGATTATGTCTTCCAAGACTCTAGAAGTTCAAATACATTAATTTTATTTCTCCTATGATCCCTTCTTTCACAAGTTATTTGAAAGATTTATGTAGCTGAATCTTATTTTGCTTGCATTGCAGAAGGGGAAAGTTAAACCTGTTCATCTTGTTGATTTTCCTGGGCATTCCCGTCTTCGAACCAAACTAGATGACTTCTTGCCACAAGCAGCAGCAATTATTTTTGTGGTTGATGCTGTGGAATTTTTACCAAATTGCCGTGCTGCTTCAGAGTACATACTATCAGTGCCTTGATTCAAGCATTCACGTGCACATATACACACACACCCGACTTGAGTACAGATACTTTAACACATCGACTCTAACATCTACTGTTTATTTTGTGCTAAAGGTTCCTATATGATATTTTGACCAAGGCAAATGTGGTGAAGAAAAAGATTCCACTGTTACTCCTTTGCAACAAGGTGGATAAAATTACTGCACATACAAAGGATTTTATCAGAAAACAGCTGGAAAAGGAAATGTAAGGAGCATTTTGTACATCATTAAGCTTCAGTAATTAAATTATAACCTCTCAATCTTTTATATGTGCAATCCTTTTTAAGATGGTTAATTTCTGGTCATTATTTTTTACAGACAATATGAACATTTTTGTTTTATCAAGTGAAATAGATATTCCAACAAAAAGAAGGTAACTAGAAACACCCATAGATAGAATTATGAATGCGTCCACATTAAATTCAGGGAATGTGCCTAGTGCTAGGAGAATAGAATGGTTGAGTGTTGAAATTATAACGAAGATGTTTTAGGATCAGTAGGTGTATGCCATGTAATTGGCTAATGGATGGAATGTTGAAAACGTTGAACCATTACACTCATGCTTAGGAAAAACTAGAACAGAAGTTAAATGTAAATGAACTCTGTAGATACTGTTTTTCCAAAAATTGCAAGGTTGGAAGTACTGATATTGGGCACATTAGAATTAGAGCTAACAAGGAGATTAGTGAAAGGTGGAAAAGGTTTGAGGGGAAGGAAAACTAAGCCAAATGTTAGAGGAGGAAAAAATAACTAAAAGATGAAAATTAATTAAAAAAATAATCATCTCTTACACAGAATTATCGTATCTGAGGTTGAAGAAGAGTAATATATTGGCTTTGAAGTGACTAGTTAATGTCAAAGTACATGTTTGTTAATAAATGGAAAATGACAAACTTAGACATGGTTATTAGTCACTTTTGTGACCTTGTAAAGGTAGAGCGCCAAGGGGAAGAACAACTCCTAAAGTGGCGTAAGGGCATCTCCAATAGATGCACCACATCACCAAAATACACCAAATTTTGGTGCAAAACCTCTGTAATGTGGCACCAAAGTTTGCACCATTTTGCGGTTCAAAATGGTGCAAAGTCAAATTTACTCTTATTTGCCAAACTAATTGATAGAGGGTGTTTATGTTATTTGTGTTATTTATTTTTAATACAATAAATTTTTATTATTATAATTCTTATTATGATTAATACAAATAAAATCAATATTAACAATGTAAAAAATAAATTTTTATATTTATTAATGAATTTAATATTTTCGTTAATTTAACGTAATTATTTATTTAGTAATTTATGTATTTGTGAAATACATAAAGAAATGATTTTTCAAATAAATAAATTATTGAGAATAAAAAAAAGGGGAGAGAGAGAAGAAAATGATTAAACATGGTTCATTTGATTTAAGTTTTGGCGTAATGGTTGGGGATGATTTTTAATTTGGTGTAAGATTTGATATAAAATGGTGCAAAATTGTCCTCAAATTTTCGTGTAGAGTTGGACATCACCTAATATCGTAAAGTGTGTTCTTTTGGCAACACTAACCTGGAGAGAGAGATAAATGAAGGACATTACCAACGAGAAGGCAAAACAACTTTCATATAGAGAATTCTTTGGCTAAGCTTAAAAAATTTACCATGTTATATTGATCAAAGTTGGAAATAAGTTACTTCCAATATAAGAATTTTTCTAAAAAGTAAAAAATAGGTTTTTTAAACATCTTTGGAAACAGAAGAGTAATTTTTTACTTACTTTTAAGCTTTAATACATGTGATCTTGGTCATGTTGATTTGAGAAATCATGTATGATGGTTGAAATTAGAGAATTGATATGATCTTCTTCGTATCTCGTACTTGCAAACGCATTTTTATATGGCATTATTCTCTTCCCGTTGTAAATGAAGTTCAATAAACGTGTTGGCTAACGTATTTGTATACCAACTATTACCGTTAATCCTAAATCCACAAATTGATTTGCTGCCTGCTCTTTTGATTTAGTGAGAAGCTTCGCGCATCAAGAACTGCACTATCTTCAGCAGACATTGCTAATGAATATACTCTCGGGATACCTGGAGAAGCCTTTGCATTTTCTCAGTGCCATAACAAAGTGACAATTGCAGAAGCATCTGGTTTGACTGGCGATATATCTCAGTTAGAGCAATTTATCAGGGAACATGTAAAGCCTTGATATTATATGCAGGACTTCAGGAAGATCTGATTAGTTTGATTGTGAGATGCTAATATTGCATTTATCAAATTGCCGACCTCATGGAATGCACTTACATGTTTTGTAAGGAAGGTATTGTACTGCGTATGAAAGATGTACTGTGTGCGGTAAATGAATTGGGAACAGAAAACTAGAGGCTCTTTTTGGATGTATTTTAACATCTTCAACATTAATTGATAGAAAATAATCTCTTATGGTTGAACGAAATTTAGATTTGTTGGAAACTTGTCTATTCATCACAAATAAAGCACTTCTATTATAGGAATGAAGCCATAAAATTAATTATTAGAAGTAAAATTTTCAGCAGAGGCAAGAGATCAATTTACATAAAACTTGTTACAAGCCTCTCATTTCTTGAAAGCTAATTAGATTCTTCTTCTATTATCTGCCCGTTGTCTCTTAGCAGAACCAGTTTGTACGTGCTCCACGCTTGATTGTATCTACGGTAATGGAGAAAGAAGATGAAATTGATATAAAGATTAGAAAACTTAAGAGGAAGTTATAACAAAATTGATTATTACCTTATTCAACTTCTCCCTGACAAATTGCACCGTTTGATTCATGGATTTTGATGAGAAATATTCCTGATATCAACCAAAAGAGAAGCATTGAATAATTGAAAGGATTTTTTCTGCCAAAAAATTGGTATTGTTACCTTTCTCAACTAGACTACCACGATGTGAGGTTAATATTCCCTACCGTCTTGTAGCCAAACTAATGAAAAAGTGTTGGGATAACTTTCTTCCTTTTTCTTGCTTATAAGGGAACATTTTAAGCGTGTGTTTGGCCCCCATTTTAATGAGTTTTTTTAACTCCATCTCATTTTCCTACAGTATTACACTGGTAACACTTTACAAATCACTCAGTTTTTTGTCAAAGATGACACAGAAAGAATAATGCCGTGAGTTATAATGACTGTTTTGCCCTCAATAAAAAGAATAAAATTCAATTAGAGAGGCAAAAAAGGCAAGAATAAAATTCCAATTGAAGGATATAAACGGAAAGAACAACATTCCAAAATTCAAATGACTGCCTATAACCTAGGTGGTCTCAGTTTTTGTCAAGCAAGCCGTCTCACTGCCTGACGTGGGCCCACATTTGTTGAAAAAGAAGTGGAAAAATGGGGGCCAAACACGCTAATTTTTTTCTTCAAAAGTCCCAAAATAAGTAATCTATTCCTACCAACTCAGTCGTTCACCAATAAAAATAATTATTAGTTTAAAACTTGCTTATTTTCTTATAACTTTTAAGGTTAGACAAATATGTCATAGATAAACAGCTGAAGGGAGAGAAATTGGACACAAATTCAGTGTTGTACAATGACAGACTTAAATCTCAGAACTCGGAGGATGTCTTTAAAGCATTCAACAACAGAGCCAATTGGAAGAACTGAGGGGCTTTCTTTCCTTTGTATCTTATTAGCATTAATCTGCTGTTATTTTCATTTTTCGGTGAGGTGGTGTTTAAGGAACGAATAATGCTATTCATCATTAGAAGGAATCATCACTAGTCTAAGTGGCGAAGAACCTTTGATTCACTGTCCAATGCATAACAACGTATCACAACTCTGTTGTACAATTTTTCAGGGGTCCACTGCCACCTAAATCCATGATGATCTCAACTAAATAGCATTACTCTTAAGGAACTGGTTAGGAGACTCTACAATTCTCTATCATACTATAGTGCTGCACAGGATATAAATTCGTCTCTTACAGCTATGGCTAACTGAAGAAATTATTTAGCTAATCCAAAAGGTCAATTTGGAGAAGATTCCATTAAAAAATAATAATAATAATAATATTCTCATGAATCACATTCAATTGAGATAAACTCCAATTTTCATCCATAAATTTACCTTGTCAGAAGAAACTGATGTCCTGGGAGCTGAATCTCCACCACAAGCACTGTTCTGTAACTCCCCGAACTCACTACAACATGGGAACACACTTATGGTAATCTGTAATGAAATTCCTCAGAAAATATTTCATGGTAACGCAACAGGAAAACCACCTTTGATTGAATTCAGATGTTTGAGCAGATGAAGGATCACTAGCAGCATGGGACCTGGAAATTGAAGACCCTCGGGATCTTTTAGCTGAAATCGTGTGAATCAATTAGAAGTGCATCACATTTTACAAATTATAAGGGAATACCATTAGGGATATATAACTTATTACACAGCAGACTTACGGTTCAATCTTGCTAGAACTTCCTTTCTCCTCCCTTCCAACTTCTCCTTTGTGTCAGAGAGGGACTCATATTGAGGTGCATATGATACTAGTATTTGATTCCCTAGGAAAATGAATTCATCAAGTTTCCTCTTGGCAAACCTATAATTATGTTCAGACTTCAATTTCACTCACGATTCAATTTGGATAGTTGTAGAATACTCAAATCAGCATTCAGGAACGAACAATAACATTTCAAAATAAACAAGAATTGGTTACATTTAAATTAGTGTAGAAACGGGAAAATAAAAGAAAAATCATCAGACAGCAAAAATCACCTGGCATTGTCAACCTGATAATACTTGATCCAGTAAACATCAGTGTATGGTTCACAGTCTTCAGCATCCATTGGTTTACACCTGAACATCACTTTTCAAAAGTTTAATGATTTTGATGTCATACAAACAACAAAGAATTCTCCCCCGCTATATAAACCCACTTCAAAAGCTGCCAAAGAGTTCATTTTTATATATAATATTACAATACATATACATGAACTTTCATTATAATTTATAAACATATACATGCTGGTGGGGTTCTTACTCTTCAACTTGTCCATAAGTAGAGAATAATTTTAAGAGCTCATCTCCACAACCCAATGATGGAACATTCCTCACAATCAAGTATCTGCATGAAATTGGTCAACAAAATTTATAATTCACTCGCAAATTTATAACCACAAATTTGATTTCCTTTTCCTAGATGTAATAAATTGACGAAAAGAGAAAATAAATACAAACTTAGATTCATCACAAATAGTGTATACGCGAACAGCAGGATGGTCTTCTTTGTATTGAGGCATTCCCTGTAAATTCAAAAACTCCGTAAAATCACTGTGTTTCCTCATATGTGTAATGTTTCTAACGTGCACGACTAAATTTATCAGAAGAAAGAAAAGGTTTGAGCAATCCAGTCACACTGGTTATGGGACTTCAGATTTAGAGAAATTTACAAATATAGCTACGAAATAAGACACTGAACAATCTCTTGTGAACTTTTAATTTTATTATAAATTCTATAGGCTGGCACCTACTCATAGGTAATGCATCAATAGTGGACAATTCCATAATATGCATTTCCATCCCCACCTACTCGAGTGCACAACTTAGAAAATGTTTACAACAAAATGGCAAAAAGCCAGAGAAAAAAAATAAAAAACGAAGAACCACAAAAGCACATTACTCTTTTAGAATATAAACGCTTATTTAACATTTTATTCAAATAAATTTAATAAATTGTTAGAATGTAATTATTACGAGGGAAAACGGCTAACTATGAAACAAATAATGAATTTCATGAAAAAGGTTAGCAACAAACAGATGCAATGAACCAATGGGACACCATATTATTTGAGGAAAAAATTATGAAAAAGGTCAGCAACAAACAGATGCAATGCACCAATGGGACACCATATTATTTGAGGAAAAGATTATGCATAACCTGAACTGCTATGGAAATTATTAAAAAAAAAAAAAAAAATTACAGAATGAAAAACACAAATTGTTCACTACCCCTATTAGTCAATTACCAAACAGACGGCGGATCCAAGATGAATCAGCCAGGGGAGCTTGGATAATATTTTTTAAGAGAACTTCGACAGTTTGATGTCAGATCTTCACAGTTCAAAAAAACCATTGCGCATAAACACAACTTCAAGTTCACGTTTGGTATACAAATATTAAACACAATTTTAACTCTAATCCACTTGCAAAACATACCGCAAATTCCTATAGGCAACACAAGGTAAATATCAGATCCTTCAACTTACACCAAACACATCAAACAGGTATTCTGCTTCAACTCTAAATCAAAGTCTAACAGGATACTTCAAATTAATACACATCATCTAAGAGCAATCACAGCAGATTTCTTCTCAAAAAGAAGTCAATCCTCTTCCATTTCATTTAAATGGCTAACAATCAACTAAAAAATGCATTCTTGGACAATGAATAAATGAAAGAATTAGAAAAATGAAAATCGAAATCATCACTATTAAATTTGATGACATGTATCAATTAGAAGAACTCCATTGAGAAGAGGAAATGGAAACAGCACCACTGAAACCTTTTGATTGACTAGCAATGGGATAATTCGAGAAGTACAAATGCATTAACATAGTAAACATGCTTGAGAAAGGGGGCAAGAGTTTTGGCCAAATAGATGAAAAGAATACATTTTCCAAAAGAGATGAGGAAATAAAAATTTCATTCTACTTTCCATAGCAGACAAACGCTCCATGGTTGAGGAAGTACCATGTTATAGAAGCTTCCAAACTTTATTTTCTTGTTTTGTTAAGGTACTCAATGAATGAGGTGGGAGATAAAAAGCATCGCATTAATTTAAAATAAAATAAAATAAATAAAAAATAAAAACATTGAAACCACAAAACCATGATACTTGGCTGCCACAAAATATCCCACAACCATTGAAAAATTGATTACAAACCTGACAAATGTATCCAAGTCAACACCTTTACTATTGGCTGAAAAACTAACAAGAAAAAGAAAATATTAGTCATATTTTAAATCTTCAACATCCCAACTATGCCCCAAAAGGGATTATAAATGCTCTACCAGTAAACACATGTTTAAAATGACTAGGAATAGTTATATAATTTGAAATTTTAGCATTTATATGATTTGAAAAGGAAAGGGGTACGTTAAAAACAATTCAACTAAAGAAATACTTCACAAAGAACAAAACTTCATAATAAAAAGAGGGAAAAGAGGAATTAATTGAAGAAAATGTTGCCTGGGTGAAACACAAAATTACAGAGTCTATCAAAAAACAAGTTTGTGCACAAACCGTCAATCACCTACTCAACAGATGAAATTATGAAATTTTATGGGGAAAAAATGATGCAGAACACAATACTCAAGGACTCAACACTCATGAAGCAAAAATGCATGGCATTTTACCTGTCAAAGACTTAAAAACCGAAACTAAGCAAGATTTGCAATTGCTTGACTGTGACCAATCTGCATTTTGTTCTTGTGATCTACACAGGGTGAATGGAGATTTCAATCTGATTCAATTGCAAACCCATTTAATATCAGTATCGAAGGCCATTTTTATTAAACAGACGGTCAGATTGACATAATTTAAGCAGCGTATAAATTACTGCGGACAAATATTTATTCCCTTCACATTTAATAAGAATTAAACACTAATATTTCATGAAAAAGTAAGGAAGACAAAGTAATGCAACAAAAATGCAATTTAATCAAACGAGATACCATATAATAAAGTTTACCTTGACAGTCAGGAACTCAACTTTAGATATTCTAAAGCAACAAATATTCATATTGCGCTATTCTAATCTACCTCAACATTCAGGAATTCAGGGCAAAAAATTGAAACCCAATTCAGAATATAAACACAAAGTGGAGGTGGAAGTGTAAAAATAAAAATCTAATAAACCGTAGAGTTTAAAATTTCCAAATTTAGAACCAAATCAAAGATATCAAGTCACTATTAACCGAGAGACAGTTTTGCCATTTCTAAGATATGTACAAAAATTTCAAAATACGATTACCTTGTCCAATATTTTTGAGAAGCCTTGGAATTTTTGGTTCTTCTATCGTAGACCGCCGTGTGTGGGTGGTGGAGGAACCGAGGAGGTAGAGGAAGCGGAAATTATTTATTTCCAGCGTTTGCGCCTCTACTTTCAATTTTGGTTCCGTAAGTGCGGTTGATATGTCACTTACCTTCTGTTTGGGCACCAATACCCACAGTTTTTTAATACTTACCAGAAACGCTTATTTAGACTTTAAAAGCCATACTGAACATATGTTATCCGACTAAAATGATAACATTATCCAAAATGTATTTCTCTCCAATTTGATATTACTGTGACAACTAAATTCCTTCTATTGTTAACAAGAATAGTTGGTGTTAGGAATGGCAATAGAATTAGGTGATCATTTGATTTCTTGCAACTGAACGAGAACGTGAACAAATAATGAAGTACTTCATAGAGTGTCGAGCCTACGATAATTATGTATTTGATCAAGTTAAAATTAATTGTAACTTTAATTGAATGGCAAACAAATTGTTGTAAATTTTATAATTAATACCTAATTTATTAATTAAACTAGTGAAAGCACGTAAATGTGTTTTTCAAATATGTGAGATGTCGAATCTTCCTTGTTATTTCATTTTCAGTGTAACAATTAAATTGACAATTTTGAAATCATTCATGTTAATCAATGTTCCTAAGTTAATTGAAAACCTCCTCTGATAGTGACCAAATCTATTCTCCTCATGTGATCCTTCTATCTCTCAATGAAAGATGCAAACATGATAAATATATTAATAGGTGCTAGAACACCTGTTGAAACTATACAAAGCATAAAAGTATATCTCTAACCTCTATCGAAACTTACAATATTTATTATATTGTGTTTAAAGCGTATTATCTCTTTCGATAATAATAAAATCTATTAACAATTCAATTAGTAATCAAACAATTAAAAATAAATAAAAACCATGTTTTTCAAATATTTGAGATGTCGAATCTTCCTTGTTATTTCATTTTTAGTGTAACAATTAAATTGACAATTTTGAAATCATTCATGTTAATCAATGTTCCTAATTTAATTGAAAACCTCCTCTGATAGTGACCAAATCTATTCTCCTCATGTGATCCTTCTATCTCTCAATGAAAGATACAAACATGATAAATATATTAATAGGTGCTAGAACACATGTTGAAACTATACAAAGCATAAAAGTATATCTCTAACCTCTATCGAAACTTACAGTATTTATTATATTGTATTTAAAGCGTATTATCTCTTTCGATAATAATAAAATCTATTAACAATTCAATTAGTAATCAAACAATTAAAAATAAATAAAAACTATAAAAACATCCACAAATTAGAACAAATTAAAGTCAAAATAATTAATTAAAAACTAAAAATATCATAACAATAGTTCATCTCATTCTAACAATGTATAAAACTAACCTAACATATTAAAATTACAATAAATCATATTTAAGTGAAAATGACATAAACCGAATTTTTGATAAATTGAAAAGATGAAGATGAATCTTGAATCTCTTCAATGATTTTTTTATAAATCTTCACTTGAGCCTTCTCTTCTTTGCCCAAAAATCAAATTTGAATGTTCGCTCGATTGAATTCTTGCAAATTTTCTTCAATTCTCTCATTAAAAACTACAAATTTTGTCTCTCCTTTGGTGTTTGAATTAATGAAATATTGGAGTATATTATGTATTTGAGAGGTGTTCTACATTGATTGCCCATGTCTTGTATTTATAGAGGTAAAATTAGGTTTAAAAAAAAAATTTGTGAAAGAAAGTGGTTATAAGAAAATTAGTCGCGATCTTGGATTTTGGCCTGGGCAAAATCCGGGCACTCATCCAAGCCAAGTTTGAAGTCATTGCTTTTTGATTACTAGGTTAGACGGGCAGTTGACCAGTTATACATATTTCAATTTTTAAGTTTTGGTCCACGAATTCATTTCTTGATTCTTTTAAGTCATTTTTTCTTATAATTTCGGTCCTTTAACTTC